CTGGCAGAAGCCCAGGTCTGGCACAAGCCCACGTCTGGCACCTTGACCCTGCCACTTTCAGACAGAGGCCTGGTTCTGGCCATTCAGCTTGCTTTTCTCTCACTTAGCGAGAGGGCACCTACAGAAGGAGCCCTGCAAGATGGTCTTGCCAGCCCTGCATATGCAGGGTCTCAGCGTCACCTGGCCGCATGTCAGGGGAGCTGGTTTGCTCTGAGTTTGACCTGGAGTTCTAGCTGGGCCTGGTGACCCTGACACTGTCCCGGCCCTCGTGTGGCATCGGTTCAAGTCCTGATATCCACCTGGTGTTGCTACAGCTTCTCAGAGGCCCACAGCTATGCTCAGCACTAGGAACACTGCCCATTCCAGAAGCTTCCCCTCATGCATGGGAAACACATTTTCCCGGGTGGAGGAGGGGAAGGTGGCGGCCATGGTCTGAGTTCATCATTTGGTGGTATTCTCTTCTTGTTACTGAGCTCTTGTGAGTTACTGAAAACCAACAGGAAGCGGGCAGAGTTTGAGCAAGGAAAACGGAGCCCCGCGCTAGGGCACTGCCGCCTCTAAGATGCCATGTGCTAAAAGGTGCATGATGCCCCTGGAGCTTTGTGACACAGGGGTCTGCAGAGGCTTCTCTGTGGAAATGCATGCAGGGCCTTGATCGATCACCCCAAACCAGTCAGAGATGGGCACAAGATCAGAGCTAGAAGAGTTCATGTGTGTATGTATTTATGTATGTGTGCATGTGCATGTGTGTGTGTATGAATGCGTGTCTGTGTGTCTACGTGCATATATGTATATGTGTATATGTGTGTATGCATGCATGCATGTATTGTGTAAGTCTGTGCATGCATGTGTGTATGTATGTGTATATGTATGTGTGTGTATATGTGTATATGCATGTATGTGTGTATGTATTGTGTGTCTGTGCATGCATGTATGTGTGTATGTGTATGTATTGTGTGTCTGTATGTGTATGTGTATGTATACATGTATGTGTGCATGTATTGTGTGTGTGTCTGTATGTATGCATGTGTGTATGTGTGTGTGTGTGTGTGTATGTGTGTGTGTGTGTAGCAGTAAGGTGTAGGTTCCAACCTTTCCTCAGATGTTGGGAAGAAGCCATGCCTGCCTGTATCTGCTCCCAGCCTTTCAGGAGCTCCACAGATCCGGCCTGTAGCACAGGCTGGATGATACAGGAGGCCTCTGGCTGTCAGGCCTGGAGCTTGTGTGCAGGTAGAGGAGCCCTGGGCCTGCTGCTGTGCAGCCTGAGTGTGCAGGAGGAGGAGGAGGAGGAGGAGCGGTGGAGGGGGAGGAGAAGGGGAGGAGGAGGAGGAGGAAGAGGAGGAGGGCAGGGGAGTGAGCAGAGTCTAGGGTGGGGTGGGCCTGGCAGTAGCTTTCAACCTGCTGCCCTGAGGGCGGGGCTTGGGCAGATGGGCCCTTGGGTCCCAATCCAAGTTCCTTTTTGAACAGCACAAAATGGTTCCGAGACAGGCAGAGAGTCTGGTTTTACTCCTTCTGTCGCTAGGTTGTAGAATCTGTAGTGCACATTTACATTCTAACCTCAGGCAGACATACTGTTTGTTGCAGAGGCTCTAAGCGCTTTTCCCGCACTCTGCCAGCCATGAAAGGTCATCTGAGGCTGGGCTCACTCACACAGTCCCCAAGGCTGATTGTGGGACATGGGTCATGGGCCTGCTGCGTAGCTGTCATGGTACCTGCTCAGAGACGTCTCCCAGCTGGTGGTGGTTGGTGCTGGGCCCAGGTCCCCACCTCTGCTGCCTGTTCAGTGCCCCTTGAAATGCACCCAGAGGTGTCTGTCTTCTGGCAGGGCTCTGACCTCAGGGCGGTGGGGCTGGGGAGGTCTTGGGGAAGTGGGGGTGGTGGCCGTGCATGGCATGGCGGGGAGAAGGCCCCCATGAAAGGCTGTCCTCTGTCTATGGAGCCTGTGGGTCTCCAGAGCTCGCTTGCACAATGCTTCCTGCGAGCGTTTTCATCATAGGCTTTAGCAACTGTCATGTCAGCATATGACCTTTAAAACTGTTGAAAAGGAGCCACTTCTGGAGAATGTGCTCACGAGGAGCAACCCTTCTCCCTGCCCCCTGTTTGCTGCTCAAGGACGTGCCTGCCTGCCTCATGGGCTAAGGCAGCCTGCCACTGGTGGCCTAAGTCGGACCTGGAGCCCATTGCTTGGTCACCTGGCATCTGGTTTTATTGTAGTATTATTATTATTAATTGTTATTGTTATTTTGCCTCAGCTGTCTTCTGTGCATGTGGTAGCGAACTTAGCATCTCTTTATCTCCATGAAGACCCAAGATCCACACTCTGTTTCTCCCTCTGACCCTGCTGTCGCCTCCAGGGACCCCCTGTCTCCAGCAGCTGTCCCCTGCCACACACATGCATGCAGACATTTTCTGAGCCTCAGTGGGGCTCCCTGAGTGGCCTTCTCCCAGGCACATAAGGCCGGGATTCAGGTGGAAGGGAGAACACAGGGCATCACTGATGGGATCCAGCACTGGAGGGTACGGGGTGGGGGGGAAGGGGAGGAGAGGGGAAGGGAACCCTTTCTGAGGAAGGAGAGGTCAGAGTCATTGCCATTGCTGTAAGACACCAGTGGGAGGGATCCCTAAATTCAAGGCAGACCCCAGAGCCAATTAGGGAGATGGGTGGTGGGGAGACCTTTTCTCTTTGTCATTCTGATTTTGGTGGTTCTTCCCTGGGCCATTGTGCAGCTCTTTGCTGAGTTCTTGGGGTCCTTCATATTGGAAATAGGGGATTCAGAGCTTCTCCTAGGTGGACCCAGGGTCAGCCTGCTCCTATGCTTGTGCTGGAGTGGGACAGCTCCGGGTAGGGCAATCACCTTCCCTCCGCCACGCCCCTTTCCCCCCAGCCTCTGGAGCTTCCCCTCCCCCCCATTCCCCACCCACAGCCAATTAACTCCCACTTCTACTGGCTCTACCTCTCCATCATTCTTGCTGCACATCCACTTCTTTCCATTACCCCCAGTTCAAGAGTCAGCAACCTGCAGCCTGCAGCCTAGGTCTGCCCATCCACTGTTTTGTAAATAAAGTCTTATGGGAAAATAGCCACCCTCCTTCATTTGCATACCTCCCCTGCTTGCTTTTTTGTTGCAATTGCAGAGGTGAACATGTGCCCCATATTTACTATCTGGCCCTTTTACAGAAAACTTTTGCCAACCCCTGCCCTAATTCATCCTTATCCTCTTTTAATGGGATTATTGAACCATCTTTCCAACTGCTGTCCCTCTCCCCTGTCTGGCTCCCTTCCAATCCATTTTGCACTCTGGTGTTCCTAAAATAACAATCTGCTGACGGTACTTTGCCATTTGCTTCACTGGCTCCTCAGGCTTTCTGGATGGATTCTTAATACCTTCTCCTGGTTTGCTGGGTTCTTCCACCTGGCTCCATGTTCAACCACATGTGGCTTCCAAGTGCACTACGTTCCCAAGGCACCTGGGCCTCTTTCCCAAGGTTGAGTTGTTTCCTCTTCCTGGACTGACCTTTCTCTCTGCTCTAGCCTGACATGCTCTCATTCCACCTTTCTCAGGAAAGCCTCTTGACTTCTACAGACTGGGTTAGGAACCTCTTCTATGCGCTTTCATGGTGCTCCAGAACTCTTCCTTTATAAGATATATCTTGTTAGAGTGACATTGTTTATTCATTCACGCACACATGCATGCATGCATTCTCCATATAGATCAGTCATTCAACTAAGGATCTGGATTAAAAAAAAAATCCCAAGCTCCCTGATGTTCTCAGAGCTTATAGGCTGGTGGAGGAAATAGAAATGAACCAATATTAAGAAGTAAGATGGAGAATATTAAAGAGGAGAATACCCTAAGGTAGAAAAAAATAAATCAGGCAGGAGGAAATGAAATACCCTGAAAGTGTTGACATTCTAGATGGGGTGACCAGAGATGACCTCATTGTGAAGGTGGTTTGGGGTAAAGGCTTGAAGGAAGGGAGGGAGGGAGCCATATAGGTATTTAGGGAAGAGCATTAGAGACAAAGGAAACTTAAATACAAAGATGGAAGGCAAGAGAACATCCATCTTCCGGTGTGTTTCAAGACCAGACTGGTGTGGCTGGAGGGGAGACAATGGGAAGGAGGGTTGGAAGGCCTTGTAGGGCTGTGCAGACCTTGACCTTTATTCTGAGAGGCATGAGACCCCATGTAGCTCTCACTGTGTGGAGGAGTGGCACAGGCTGAGTTGAGTTATAATAGAGTCATCCTAGCTGTGTTCTTAGGCAGTAGGCAGATAAGGTCCTTGAGGTCAGGTATCATGCCTGCGGACCTTTATTCTCAGACAGCACTCTGGCTCATAGAAGACCACAACAGGTGTTTTACAAGTGGGCAATGAACGAACGAATACATGAATAAATGCTATCTCTCCACAGCTGGGTCCTGACTCCTAAGGGCTTGTGAAGTCTTCTCACTGTTAAAGGGAAGCTCTGGTTGCAGATGCTGCCAACAGCCAATGTTAGCTGTCTGCTTGGACGTCACTATGGCAGCAACACACATCCAAACCAGTTTTCCTTGTTGCCACAGAAAGGACTGTTTAATGGATCCATGTCACCCTGAGGGAAGATTTCAGGGGTGTATCATATAGCATTGACCTTGGCCCTGCCCTGTGCAATGTTCTGCTCAGTGACAGAGATGAAGCTACAGAGAGTTATTACCAAAGTTAGAGATGGAGGTGGGAGGGATAGATGATTTGTTGATGGGACAGACTCAGGATTTAAAACTATCTTTGTAGGGGGCACCTGGGTGGCTCAGTCAGTTAGGCACCCAACTTCGGCTCAGGTCATGATCTTGCAGTTTGTGAGTTCGAGCCCCTCATCGCTGTGCTGACAGCTCGGAGCCTGGAGCCTGCTTCAGATTCTGTGTTTCCCTCTCTGCCCCTCGCTTGCTCATGCTTTTTCTTTCTCTTTCAAATAAATAAACACTAAAAAGACATTAAAAAAACCCCTAAACTATCTTTGTAGGTTCAAGATTCCAGCCAAGAGGCCCTATCTGTAGGAGAAGGTAAGTAGAGAGCCATATTAGGTTCTATGTCAAAGCCAAAAAAATCAACTGCAAAAATTGAATTGGGGATATGTAGCTTTAGTAAGTGATAAACACTACCTGAGTTAAAAGTGTAAAGCCATCTTCAAAAATCCTAAAGCAATGTTAGAAGCCATTCTAGAAGTGTATTCACAGATGCCAATTATCTGAGAGTTGTAATTCTCTGACTGGGTAAGGCCACGCCCAGGACTTCACGTCCAGGCCTGGATTAGACACCTAAAGAGTGCTGTGAACACGCTGGAGGGTGACAGAAGTATACTGAGAGAACAGTCGGTGTCTGGTGAAGAGGAGTCTGGGGGTGAGGTCCTGATTGCTCTCTTCAAAATGTCTGAAATATCGGGGCAAAAGGGCTTAGTTTTGAGAGTTTTTCTGAATGGCCTTAAGGGGTTGAAATAGGGCCAGTTATGTGAGTTCAACTGATGGAAACACTGTCTAAACATCAGATGGGTTGCCTCAAGGCCTCTTTCTGTGGGGGTGAGGCGGGGGGTGGGGAGGAACAACCGTGGGCAGAAATGCTTAAGCATCAGAGAAGCACTTTTACTAGATAATTTAAAAACCCCTTTTCACACTGGGATTCCATGCTTTTTTTGCTTCTCTATTACTGTGTGTGGCGGAATCTGATAGTTATTCCTTATATCCACTTCGTACTTTTTCTTTAGTACTAAAACCCAGTATTTTTAACATGCTTTCTGCATGGAACAAGGTCTACTTTCCACAACCTTCCTTGGAACTAGGTGGGGCCAGGGGCTAAAACTGTGGCCAGTGAACTAAAAGTGGAAATATCAAGTTCAACTTCTGGGAAGTAGTAGTCAAGAGAGGGGGTATACTCTTCTTTCCCCTTCTTTTTTGCTGTAGGCTGGAATGTGGATGTGGTGGCTGGAGTGCAGTAGTCATTTTGGGCCATAAGGTAGAAAGTCTATGTTGATAAGGAGCCTGGGTTCCTGATGATTGGGGCTGTTATTAGAACTCTAGTCTGTTCACCTTTCTTCTTCACTATGTAAGAACATAGTAAAGTGCAAACAATGTGTTTGTAACAAACCACAGTTATTTTGGGTTTTCTGAAACTTAGGAACCCACTCATAACTAATCTACCATGGAAAGTACACACACACACACACACACACACACACACACACACACCCGAAGGAACACTATTGAAATGAAGGACATGGGCTTCCCAGTTGGATTGCTTTGCTCCAAATTCTAGCTCCACTACTTTCTAGCTGTGTGCCATTGGACAAGTTTCTTCACCTCTCTGTGCCTCAGTTTCCAAACTTATAAAATGGGAATGATATAACAATTATGCAGTTTTCGTTTGTTTTTAGAGAAGATTAAATTAGAGAATACATTTAAAAACATAGAACAGTGATTGACCCATAGCAAATATTTGATACATATTAGCTATTATTATTTTTAAAAAATTATTTGTTTTGAGAGAGAGCAAGGTGGGGGGAGAAGAGAGAGGAAACAGAGAATCCTGAGCAGGCTCAGCACAGAGGCTGATGCAGGGCTGGATCCCATAAACCATGAGATCATAACCTGAACTGAAACCAAGAGTCAGATGCTTAACCAACTGAGCCACCCAGGCACCCCTTAGCTATTATACAGACATAGTCCACATGTTTGTTTGTTTATACTTTGCCTCTCCATACTGACAACTGTAGAGTTGTACTGTTTTCTCTTATTCATTGGTTCATTTGATAACTTTCATTAATGTCACAAGAAGAAACAGTAGAAGAACATTCAAAATATGCATACACAATCAAGATTTAATCTTTTTTTTTTTTTTTAAATTTTTTTTTTTCAACGTTTATTTACTTTTGGGACAGAGAGAGACAGAGCATGAACGGGGGAGGGGCAGAGAGAGAGGGAGACACAAAATCGGAAACAGGCTACAGGCTCTGAGCCATCAGCCCAGAGCCCGACGCGGGGCTCGAACTCACGGACCGCAAGATCGTGACCTGGCTGAAGTCGGACGCTTAACCGACTGCGCCACCCAGGCGCCCCAATCAAGATTTAATCTTAAGACAGTCTGCTTTAAGACATGAGGTTAAGGAATGAATTGTATCTAGAAGGGTGGGTCATTAGGATTTGCTGTGTGTTCTGAATTTCTTCCCTGTTTGGATTACTCATTTCTAAATTGTATACGAAATACAGATTTCATAGTGGTAAGCAATAATTGGTACCTAGAAAAAGAGTTTACTTCTCTCTTAAGGTTGTCTTCCAGAGTTTCTTAAGAAACCCAAGTTGGAACTTTATTTATTTATTTATTTATTTATCCATTCATTCATTCATTCATTCATTCATTCATTCATGGGATGTATAGGTGAACAAAGAGGGGTACACACCCTTAAGATGATCCCAGCTAACAGAGAAAGCAGACATACTTTCTGTAGCTCTCTGGACGTGCCTCTTCTTATGTCTGGTTTTCTGGACCGTGGGTGTCAGAAGGTGAGTAAGAATTTGCCAGGAAGGAAAGGTGGGGTGGCACTTCTGGGAATTTATCCCCCAGAGGCACCTGCACATGTGTGGAAGGATGTACATACATGGTTATTCATGGAAGAGTTACTTATATATAGTAGGGGAATTCTGGAACCCGCATGTCCATCTACAGAGTCCTGGATAATCTATGGACATCCTCAGAGTGGAATACTATGCAGCTGGAAAAAGAAAGGGGTTGCTGTCTGTGCACTGCTGGAACACACTTTCCAGAATATACTATTAAGTGAAAAAAGAGGCAAGGAGCAGTGAGCATAGATAGTTGGCTACATTCTGTTTAAGAAAAGTGTGGTGGAGTTAGAGTATATATCTCTCTCTTTCTTGTATTTGCAGAAAGAAAGATTGGAAAGATAAACCAGGAACTAATAAAAGGGATCATGCCCTAGTAGGGAGGGGGGCGGGTAGCGGGAAAGGAGAGGAGCACCTGGTCAAGGTGTGAGCAAGACTTCTTACTTGTTCTTTATTATTTTGATTTTTGAACTATATAAATACATTATCTACTCCAATATATAAAATGCAGTGTAATAAGAAAAGGGAGGGGTGCCTGGGTGGCTCAGTCAGTTAAGCATCCTACTTTGGTTCAGGTCATGATCTCTCGATTCATGGGTTCAAGCCCCGCATTGGGCTCTGTACTGACAACTCAGAGCCTGGAGCTTGCTCAGATTCTGTCTCCCCCTCTCTCTCTGTTCCTCCCCTGCTTGTGCTCTCTCTTTCTCTCTAAAAAATACATTAATTAATTAAAAAAAATAAATGGGAAGAACATTCTCCACAGAGAGATTAGCATGTGTAGAGGTTCAGAGGCATGGGACAGCACTACAAGGGAGCAAAGTTCTCCCTAACTTTATTATTTTTTAATGTTTATTTATTTTTGAGAGAGACAGAACACAAGCAGGGGAAGGACAGAAAGAGGGAGACAGAGGATCTGAAACAGGTTCTGTGCTGACAGCAGAGAACCTGATGCAGCTCGAACTCATGAACCACGATACCATGAACTGAGCCAAAGTCTGATGCTTAAACAACTGAGCCACCCAGACACCCCTCTCCCTAACTTTAATCTAGAGTCTCTCTGGCGGGGCCTCCAGAACTATTTGTTGTCTCTGTTTTTGATTTCTGGACACCTACTGGGATAGAAGTTCATTAAAAATATGGGACTTTGTCAATCTTACAACCATATGCAAATTACCTTTGGTTGCCTGATATTGTGGACTGACTCTCTGAGATCTCTTGCTCATGTGTATCCCAGCATCCTCTGAAGGAATAACCCCCTCCTGTTTCCCTGACATTGTTCTGCTTACCACCTGGGGTCCTATGCTCTCCCTTTCCTTCAGTTTCCTGCACCAGGAGTCATTCCATCTCTCTTCAAGAAAACAAAAAGGTATGGTTGGCCAACAAAAGAGAAATTATGCATTTAAATAGAAATATATAGCTCTGAATAAAATTACACATCAACATAAATCTATACGCATACATGCATAAGAATATAATGCATATGATTATACTTACACATCCACACAGAAAGCTACATGAGATGTACAGTAGATATATTTCACCTGTTAAACAGGAACTGTATAGTGGGTTTTCTAGAATAGCAGTTTTCAAGAATTTTAGCTTGCATACCTTCTAAAGGAATTTAAAAAAACCCTCTTTAACTTGTATAAGTCAACATCTTATGATAATTTTTTAATCATAAATTCAAATAATTGCCAAGGATGTAATTTTTGGCATAATGTAAAATGTTGACATTTTAAAATAAAAATATTGCATGTCTTTAAAATATGAGCCAAATGGAATTTATTTTTTTATTTTTTTTTTAACGTTTATTTATTTTTGAGACAGAGAGAGACAGAGCATGATCAGGGGAGGGGCAGAGAGAGAGGGAGACACAGAATCGGAAGCGGGCTCCAGGCTCTGAGACATCAGCCCAGAGCCCGACGCGGGGCTCGAACTCACGGACCGCGAGATCGTGACCTGAGCTGAAGTTGGACGCTTTACCGACTGAGCCACCCAGGCACCCCAAGCCAAATGGAATTTAAATGTTGTGATGATTTGATACTTGCCATATTTTAAATTACACCAAGAGTTGTTATTGTTAACATTCAGACATTTTTTTGTCTTCCCCTTTTTCTCTGTGGATTCCTATCTCTATTCCATTTCTCTGTAGATATTTATCCTAATGTAGTAGGTTTTTATGTTTGAAAGTCTTTTATTGGTTTCGTAATTATCAAATCTATGTGTGTAAATTGCAATGTGATATTTGTTTTGTTTCCTGTGACAAGTTGCTAAATGGTGAGTCTTTTTTTTTTCTTTAGAATTAAATGAACACCAGAATAAATAGTAGAATAAGATATATTTGCTTTCTCTCACCTCAAGAATGGTGTGTAGCAATAATCACAGCCCTAAAACAGGAAGCTCAGGAGTCTGTGAGCTGGCTGAGTGGCTCTTTAGTCTAGAAGGGCTCAGCTGATGGGGCTGGGCTGGCTCAAATGTCCATAGCCAGCCATTTGGATGGCTGGAATGCCTTATTTCTGCTGCACATGATTTCTCACTCTCCAATAGGCTATCCTGGGCCTCTTCCTGGGGTTGTTGGGCAGGATCCCGAGAGTGGGTGTGGCCAAACAAAACCTCTCATGCACAGCTTCCAGGCTGACTCATTGCACTTCTGCGACTTTCCATTGGCCAAAGTAAGTCACAAGACCAGCCCGTACTTTGGGGCGGGGGAAATACACTCAACTTTGATGTGAAGAGCTTCAAAGTCACATCGCAGGGACAATATTTTGTTAGATTTATGCTAAGTATTTCATTGCAGGGGGTGCCAAAGTAAATGGAATTGTGTTTTTTATTTCAAATTTCACTTGTTCAGGGCTGGTGTATAGGAAAGTGATGACTTTTATACATTAACCTTAAATCCTGCAACCTTGCTGTAATTGCTTAATGGTGTTAGGAAATTTTTGTTTATTTTCAATTCTTTCAGATTTTCTGCATAGATAATCATGTCATCTGTGAACAAAGACAGTTTTAGTTTTTCCTTCCCAATCTGGATACCTTTTATTTCCTTTTCCTGCCTTGTTGCATCATCTAAGACTTCTAGTGTGGTGTTGAAAAGGAGTGGTGAGAAGGGACATCCTTTTCTTGTTCCTGATATTCGTGGGAAAGCTTTGAATTTCTCACCATTAAGTATGATGTTAAGTTGTAGGAATTTTGTAGAATTCTTTATCAAGTTGAGGAGGTTCCTCTCTATTCCCAGTTTACTGAGGGTTTTTTTTTTTTTAATCATGGATGAGTGTTGGATTTTGTCAAATGGTTTTTCTGTACCTATTGATAAGATTGTGTGATTTTTCTTTTTTTAGTCTGTTGATGACATTAATTATTTTTTGAATATTAACCAGCCTTTCATGCCTTAGAGGAATCCCACTTGGTTGAGTGTATAATTCTTTTTATACATTGTTGGATTCGATTTGCTAATATGTTGTTGAAGAGTTTTGCATCCATGTTTATGAGAAATATTGGTCTGTAGTTTTCTTGTAGTGTCTTTTTCTGGTTTGGGGTAATGCTGGCCTCATAGAATAAATCAGAAAGTATTCTAGTTCCTCTTTTGGAATAAGATCTTGATTATAAAGTTGGTAAGAAGATGTTTTAGACTATCTTATTAAACAACACATGAAATCTGAAAGAAATCCCATGAAACTTTCATCCTAGGGCTTTAGCTAATGTACCTTGAACATTTT